CATCAGCAAAACGCTCACTTTTTTAAATTTCACAATTTTGCCGTTATGGTACTGTAAATCTCACTACAGTGTTAAGGTTGGATGATTGGTTAAGTTAACTGAACATATCAAAAACGTAAGCGTATTCAGACGGACTTGACGCACTTTTTTCCCGCATGAATCTTCATAATATAGAGTCGCCCGCCTTAATTTAGAAGTGAAAGTTTGATTTCCCTATCCAAATCACCACAGCATCGGGATTGCTTACAACAAAAACTGGGGTAAAACGTTATAAGTCCCACGACTGAATTTCTATTAACCTCAGCATCGATCAACTAATTCTTTATATTCTTGTTGAGCAAACGCGAGGTGTTATTTTATTCCTCATTCTGGAACACGCTGTTTCGGCGGATTTCGCCTTCCTCGGAGCCTGAGAAGGTTAAGTTGACAGCAGTCTATTCGGCCAAACACCTCCATAACCTAACAGAGAAAATTCTGACCCAAAATTTCAACCATATTGAACACAGAATAGCTTCTTTGCACACTCACCGCTTTCTATCAGGCTTCCACTGAGCATGTCGCATGGAGACCAACCGCACAGAATTCACATGGAAGCATGTGCCCCTCCCATAAGAATAACAGGCTTATACCCTGCCCAATATCACACATGATAATGAGGCATTCTTCCATGCGCTTCATTTTTGGATTTCTGGAATTAATCCAGAACGCCTCGAGAGTTCTGCGCGTTTGTGTTCTCGATTTCTGTGCGAGGATCGTGACACGTACTTCAAAGTTCTCCATGTTGTGTCTCTGGGTCTTATGTGTGCCTAGTGGGGTATTTGGTTTACGTTTGCCGAACAGGTGTTCTTTTATGCGGACACAGAGTGGCCTACTCGTTTCGCCAATGTATTCGTCACCGCACGTCTTACAGGGGATCAGATAAACTATACCCGAGTTCATCCAATCACCGTCTCTACTACTGGGGCAAATTATGCAATTTTGAGTTGCGAAATCCGGCTAAATGTCAGCTTGTTCCTGAATAAATTATAAAATAACACCTAGCGTTTGCTCAGCGAGAATATAAAAATTATTTAAAAGATTGTGCTCCGTGATTTCTCGGCTCTAGAAGTAGGCCTTGATAAAATGCAAATTTTAATTTCATTACTAGGATTGAATCCATCGCCGCTGATTAGATAAGCCCGACATCGAACGCCGAAATTGGCGAACACCATCCCTTTTATTTTCTCATTTTTCAACCTAATTGTTTTTACAACCACAACGTTGCTGAGATATTTGCAAAACTCTGGACCGCAGGTGTCTATGGCCGAGAACGAACGCGCTATTGTCCTTTCCGGGGAGTAACGCGTTCACCACCACACCATGCGAGTCCTTCGTTTCGTCTGTCTCTCAGGTATTTCTATCGATCTTTTGCCATCAGCAATCACCCGTCAACGGGATTGATCTGGAGAGCCAAAGCCTCAGTGAAGTTAGTGACTTTTACTTCAAAACTTTCTCCGTCATATTTCTGTCTCTGCGCCTAGTGGATTAATGGTTTAACTTGAAATTTACCAACTACGTATTCCTTTATACGGACGCTGAGTGGTTTATCCGTTTCGCTAACGTATTCGCTCCTACACGAGATCACATGAACCGCGCCCGAACGCATCCAGTCACCGTCTCCTACATTCGGGCATGTAATGCAATTTTGCCTCGTGCATAGAAAGCACTGGCTCATCAGGAACGCAATGAATTACTGATCAATGCCAACTTTAAAAGGATATTGCTCTTGGGGTCTAGCAACTGTCACGAACTTCATGCCATCGGTGACCATTTTCATAAATCTCCCGTTGTTCAGTAACTGTTTACACTTCTTCCAAGCCTCTTAAGAAGAACCTGTTTTCATTCCGAAAACCTGGTGACCATGAAGTTCAGCGCATGATGTTGGAATTAACTGATCAGCATGATGGATTGCTGAAGCATGATGAAGTTAGAATTTGCTAGAATTTTACCAAGATCTAGCTGTTTGCAGAGTCTACGGACTACAGAGTATGACGTTGCAAAGGTAAGTATGGAGTCAGGTGTTCATTGTACTCTTCATTATATCCTCAATGCTCTTGAAACCTCCCCATTTCGGTCGTTTCCTTCTGCTCAACTCTGGAGCTAAGTCGTTTATAATTTTGAATTCTCGACCGAGATAGACGCAACTGGAGCATGCTGAGATATTCCTTCCGTTGAGCGTGAATGGGGCATGAGAAACCAATCCGTTCCTGATGAACATCGTTTTTGTGAGATTTAGCCGAAGACCAATCCTTCCACAGGCTTTATCAAAGTAGTCAAACATACGTTCTGCTTGGCTAATGTTTGGTGTTACAAGGACGATGTCATCAGTAAAGCACAGATGGTGTGATCGCCTACCATTGATTTTCACTCCCATGTTGTCCCATTTAATGTTTTTTTTCTAGGCAATGCTGTCCGTTGTCCAGTGTTCTGTCAATCCGGCTTAGGATGACTTGAGTGAGAGGTTTGCAGACAACATATAGTAAGCGGATTGGGCGATACTTGCTGATATCCAGGAGCCTTGCATATGAGATATGAGGGCCGTTCTTCGAGTAATCAGATCTTATCTTGTCCAGATCCGGTGTTGTTTGATTTTTCACTCATGAAATCACATATCGGATTTCGGAAGGAAGAACAAATGGTATGACACAGCCATTCTCCTTTATTTTGTATGAGGGCGAGAAAACGTGGCTATTGAAGAAACCTGGGTAGTATTCGTGAATAATTTTCTCCATTGCCTTTCTGGACGCTTTAACTGTTCGGTCTCGGCGTTGGAGTGGAATAATCTTGATCTTGTAATGGGAAGCTTCGATGGGCATTGCGAACGCTTTTGCCAGCATTTGCAGCTTCGACCATAGCTGCTGCTCTTCTCTCCTTAAGATCTTCTTTTATCGCCTCTCTCCATTGTTTGCCAAGTTCGGACGTTAGCTCGCGGTTGCCTGGAGCTCGTCTGATTCCACACAAGCGTATGAGCTCACGAATTCCTGGGTAAAGATGTCTCTTGGTGATATTCGAATTCTCAGCTTTCATAGCGCTAACGTAAAGATTTTAAAAGAACCTATCGCATTCCTTATCGATGTGATTGAGAAAGGCATGTTCTCGACAGCGGACTAATGAGTTGAATAAACCCCAGATTATTGTGTTTTTGGGACCTCGGTCCCATCCGGGTTGTCAGTTGTTCGGATGCATCGATGCTTACCGACAAACTCGTGTTTACAACGCCAACTCCTCTACTGTCGCATGTTCCGAGGAACAGTTCATCTCTGGTGGCACAGACGGTGTCGTATCGTCTCGGCCAGGCCGATGACGTCACACGTTATTCTCCTTGTTTGTATGAGCAAATCTACCGAGCGTACGTGCATTGTAGGTGCAGATCATCACCTTAGTTCTTCGTGACCCAGGCAACTTCCATTGGCCCCGGGATTTTAGCAGCCTCTCCGTACTCGTGCTCTCAACGCTGCCAAATTAGGGGCTCTTTCGGGGTGAGGGGAATGAGGCCCGTTTCTATCAATATCTTTATGACGTATAACCTATTTCTATGGCGTGATTCCAACCGCCTCCCATATACTTCCGCGAGTTCTTTGCAGGCTTTTGGCAGAATGGACTCGCTGAATACAGTCCGCGTAAGCTAGAACACAACTATGCACTCATGAATGAATACGCCTTGGCATATACAGAAGGTATATGCAAAATAGGGCGCCTGTAGTCGGAGACACCTTGGAATACACGCGTGGCATCGAACCCTGCGCCTATGGCCCACCAAGTTTTCTATCCCTCCGGGGTCGGCGAATTAGTGTCAAACTTGTGGGGGAGGATAGTAGCATTGTGTGAGGACACTGGCTCGATACATCGGCAGGCCACCGCGAGTCATTGTAAAGGCCATTTGTGCATTCAACCACCTCCAAACGATGCTTAATGAAGTCGAATGCAAGGCGTACCCCTTCTGAACTGATCACTGCCGACAGCTTTATCCCTTTTTTATTTATATTCGAAATCCGCGCAGCAGAAACAGAAAGTCCATTCCCTGGATCCAGCTGCTTCTAAGGAAAGCGAAGGCCTCGTTTGGTCCACGACCAACCCTCTATCCAACATCTGGAGACACACCACGTAGCCTCGCGACTAACCGGCAAGAAATCCCTCTGCCTCTATAAGGGAAGTCCGTGGGAAACCCACCACGTGGATCCTAAGATGAAACAACTATAACTACATCTCTGTTCCATCCACCAGGAATAAAAGTCCAACTCGAGACATGTTATAAGCGGTTACTGAGCCCAACATTGTGAGAATGTAGTCTATCGAGGAACTTGTTCTAAAAATGAAAATCGTTACCGAATTCGTTCTTGTTGCTCTAAAAGGTTTTATTAGACTCGATGTAATCGATGAGATCTGTTGAATATGCAAATCACAAGTTTGGAACAACCCATAAAAAATTTGCGTAAGGAAGACCAGTGGAAAACTAAAGGCAGAGGTAGTGAATGTGGATTATTTAGGCAATACATACAGCGAGTAAAAACGATCAGGAAAAATGTGTAAGACCAAGCAACTACTCAAAGGACCGAAAGTTTCGAACGGCTTCGGAAACAAATCATCGAAAAATTCAGTAATAAATAGTGATATGAACAGTATAAAGATATGAAGGAACGTAAAGCACTAGGACGACAATAAGAAAAACTATCGTGATTCAGAAAAACAAGAGATTAAAACAAATTTTAAAAAATCAAAGAAAAACACTGGTTAAGACTGAAGCGGAATCATGTCTGAAGCTGTCCTTCTCACAGGAAATTATATCACCTGACTAGACCTACAAAATTTTTGTGTCAGAAAAATTTCGGCTTAAGAAATCCTGTGCTGTTCCCAAAATATGGAGAGTCGTGACATCTAGATATTTTACGGCCTGCAAAACAACTTTTAAATTTTGTGGAATAACTGGAAGCAACTAGAGAAAAAGAGCTTACCAGAAGAAATCAATTAACAATCATTTTTCCATAAGATTCGAGACGCTTTACCCATTTCTTTTTCACAAACCACGCAATCATTTCAGGAGAATTTGGATCGCAAATACCGGTATACCTAAAACATCAGCGATGCTTCCAAACAAACTTCAAACAATACGCTTTGACACTAACAGACTTACATTTTCGAATTACAAAAGACCTTCGCAAATTCAAGGTACCGAAGCTGGAAATCACGAATTGGGTCGTACTGATAGGATTCGAAATTTGTCACATTAAGATCACGGGGCACAAGAAATATACGACAATTTTTAAACATCAAAGAAACAATGCCATAATATGCTGTGCGTTGCATTCCACCCTAAAATCAGTCAGAGATAGAGTCATATATGAACAGGTAATTGGACATTGGACTATGGATTTGAAACCAAACGTACACGAATGTCAACCATAATACCGAACTGCTGGCCAAGAATAAACCACTCTTTCGTTGAGGAAAACATCACCCTGTAAATAAGCTTCTTTTTCCTTTTTTTCGGTCTAAAGTGTAAAGTATGAAATATAGAATGGGCGAGGCAGCTAGTGCAATCATATATGCACGGTCGTTGGTTTCACCGCCTTCTGGCCAATACTTCCTTCTAATACTTCCTTCCCTCTGGGATCGGCAAAATGGTAGATGAGTTGTCCACTAAAACCTCCTTCATGAGCACAAAGGCGAGTGATTTCTGAAGACCTGAGAAGGCTCTAGTACTTGATAAGATTTTCAGAAAGAAAGTCGAGTACCATTCAATGATATTCACATTGAACAAAAAACCCTCAAGTGACTGTGGAATCCACACGCAAAATCCGAAAACAGCCGTGGATAATAGGTGTAAAACAATGAACCCAATTGAAAGGTTCTGGAATTCGTCCAATAAGTTATTTAAGGAGCGCGCGAAACGCAATTGCCGGAGGGGCCCTGCGGTACACATGGGACGATCCCCGCTTCACGCGGTCGGCAAATTGGTACCAGAGTTGTCTAAGAAGATAGCAGCACTGGCTCGAGACATCGGCAGGCCACCGCGAGTCAGTGTGAAAGCCAGATATACACTCAATCACCTCCAACGATACTTAACGAAGTCGAATACATAGCGCAACCCTCAAGGATAGATCAATACCGAAAGCTTTACCCTTTTATTTTTTAAGTGATGTCAGGTATAAAAACTATATCAGGCTTCTCCATGGCTAATGATAGTTCCCACCTAACTCGCAGCCGTACGACAGAAAAGCATTCAAGCCAAAGAGATGAAACAACGAAGTTTACTATTCCGTGAAAGCAACTTTGTTGGATAGAATTAATCGTACAAGTAGTGCACATGTTTACAACAAATCAGAGTTAAAGAGCTCCTGATTTACAGAAGACAGGTCTGATAACTGGTGATATTTACTGTACGAAGCAATAGTACGACGAATCACAGTGTTTACTACTAGACAGAGACGCAGAAGAGAATTCCCATAAAAGTTTAGACACACCTGTATGATCTGAATGGATCGAAATACGTAGAATTGACTGCCGCAAATTCTACAAGCTGGCTATTGCGCAAGGTTTCCTGGAGCTCTCTATCATAATTCTTTTTAAGCATGTTTTCATACGGCAATAGCGAGAAGTCAACGGGAGTGGAAGATACGGCGATATTAGACAAAAACGCCTTGTATAAACCACTGAAAATCCAATTTACATAAAAAATTAAATCAGAAAATAGATGCATTGAGGCGCTACGAACTGACCCACTTGATCCTTTTCCAGCAAGCTTCATATTGTGAGCCGTGCGCGATATTTCTGGGCGAAGGCAACTGCGATTAGCACGAACCTTGAAAAATATCCCTTCACTATTGGTGTCTAGAAGAGCGCTGTTAACCTGCACAAGTCCCTCTTCGCTTAAAACATGAAAATTTTTTTCAATAGAAATCTAAACCGATATATGTTTTCAAAACTTGGCAGACGATAGTTGCAGAGTTCTAGATTGTCAGACCCAGATAGAACAGCGAGCAAAGGTAACTGTTTACATCTGTAATTACCGACGATAAGCAAAAGAGCAATCGACATTCCTAACGGTGCATAAAAGAACGATATCCAGAACTCCACAATTCATATGGCATCATTTCGTGGCGAACAATGAGTATTGTAACAAAAATAAGATTCTTGAATTGGATTATTAATCGCCTAACACTGCTCACTTCTTTAGTTCTCATCCAGTCATCCCAATAGATACTCGGGAATTTTGGTGAAAGTTCCATCCACAGCTCTCTCGTGAGCATCCAGCCTATGAAAAGATAAAAAAGAAACGAAAAAAAAAGGATAGGACCAAGTGCATATAGAAAGTAAAGATGATATTAACCTAAGCCAGGAAAGAAGTCAGTTCGCCAAATTTTTGCAGTAGAGTCTCTGTTAACCAAGGATGGTAAACCATTATCATTCCACGCAGAGACGCACCTTTAAAAAAGCACAATAAAATTGCACTTATATTTCTAGTAATAGCAACAGAAGCCGTTTCCAGTTAGACTAAATAACAGTAAAAAGATTGCACCACACCATCAAGCTTGATCATACCACACAGTTGGATCCGCTGCTAGCACTTGCTTTCCCCATTCGAAATACGAAAAGAAATCGTTCGCAATATCCAAGTCATCTAGATGTTTTTGTATTTCCACGAGGAACAAACGCCGACAACAAGGTGAAAACCCACGTCTACCTTCGGTAATAATGACGAAACCATACGTTGTTTCATTAAACAGTTTGTTAAGCGCCCAGTGATAATGTTGGGCAATATAGGCATAGTTCTTACTACGTGGACGTGGCTCATCATCACCTTTGTGCTGGAAGCATTCTACTGCTTAATTTCGAACATTTTTCAAAGTAACGAAACCTTGGCGATCAACTACAGACTTTTAAGTGCAGCACAACATGATAACGTTCTACTTCGACTGAATAACTTTTGTTTTCAATGAAGATTTATGAAGCATAAGCGAAGGTAGGAGGTAACGAATTACGATTGACTCACCTGCATGTACGAAACATTACGATAATTCCTGGCGAAAAATAGCGCAACTCGTGACACCGAGAGGTTTGATCCATCCTGACTGATAATAATGGGGAACTTTCTTGACGACGGACGAAGTCTGCAAATGAAATTCTTCTTCACTGTTCACTACTTCAAGGTTAGATCTCGTTAACTAGACATTTTTCAAATATAACGTGACGACTTGTAAACAACACAAAGCATTTCGTGATTCCTAGAAATTATAACCGTACTCCCTATTATAAAAAACGTATTATGTCTGTAAAGCTTTTATATAATGTGAAAGTAACCTCCCAACGGTTTACTGGCTCATCACGGCTGAGAGGTGTTCTCGGCCGGATGTCGCGCTGCCATGTACAGCTGGGAGATTCCTCCACCCCCGGTAGAGTCTCTCACGTTGAGGAGTCTGCCGTTTCCACAAGAAGCCCATCTCGGAGTAAACCAGTACCAATGTCCACCAACGTTCTGGTATCAAACTAGTCGCACGGTGGCAAATCTCCCTCTGATCCACAAAGGCGATGACGACGACATGTTGTGGTGACGCCCTGGGTCAAACTGGTCAGGCTGACTTCTAGGCTACAGGGGACCACAATGGATAAACCAACAAAACTCCGAAAAGACGGAATTATGCACGGGCTTACACAACCAGTGAAGACGGCCCATGAAAGTATTCAAGTAACTAAGTAGTATGAAAGTTATGACACCACAGCCGTGTCATGTGTCAGCTGAAATGTTAAGCACATGATGTGACGAGTTTCGAAAACGGTAAACATACCGAACTAATTGTTCTAAATGATTTCGCAACGCTTTGTCCCTCTTCGCTGACATCACAAGAACAGCAGAAACGAAACTACCACCGTCCCTCTCATCATTGTGATCCAGCTATAAAACTTCTTATGGTCACCAGAAATTACAAACAGCAAAACTAATCACCCGAACTGCAAAGAAGTGAAATTTTAAATAGTAACGCTCAAAAACGGGCGCATATGACGAAGTGGCAGGAGGCGCCCTGCAATACACATGGGACCGATTCCCACGCCCCTGACTCACTAAGCCTTCCATCCCTCCGGGGTCAGAAAACTGGTGCCAGATTTGTCTGGGAGGATAGCAGCACTGGCTCGATACATCAGTAGGCCATCGCGAAATCATTGTAAAGGCCAGATATGCATACAACCACTTCCGAATGATGTTTAGTGAAGTCGAATGCATGGCGCATCCGTAAGGGAATGATCAACGCTGACAGCTCTATCGCTTTTTAACGCTCAAATAATGAATACCAGGATACCACACCACCAGCAAACCGCTGCAAAATCGAATTAGAGGGGTGCAAAACTGATATGACCTCCCTACCACGGAGAATGCATGCAAAGCTAAATTGAACTTAAGGAATAACCCAAGTGGAGACACCACTTTAACAGGAACAGGAAATACGTAATTTCTATCGATATTCGCCTCTAAGACCTTTTACAATTGGTGGTCCATGATGCCGCTTAAACCGCATGATCAGTAAGAATTTCCAAACACAGCTAAGCTTTTATTAGCACATGTCATGCACTAACATGGAAAGACATGGAAGGTTGAATTAGCTAACCAAGCACTCAATAGTCTCACACAGCGTTTCATAAAAAATCTTTTCCCGAAAGCATGGATAGTACAGCATGTCAATGTCCATCAAAGGATAAAGGATAGAGCTGTCAGCGTTGATCAGTCCCGGAGGGATGCGCCATGCGTTCGACTTCACTAGGCATCGCTGGAGGGGATTGAATGCATATCTTGCCTTCACAACGACTCGCGGTAGCCTACCGATGTATCCAGCCAGTGCTGCTACCCTCCCTGACAAGTCTGGTACCAATTTGCCGACTCCGGAGGATTGGAAGGCTTGGTGAGCTTTAAGCGCGTGCATCGATCCCATGTGTGTATTGCAGGCGCCTCTGACCACTGCGCTACACGCGTCCAAAATGTCTAAAAGTAGGAAATAAACAAAAGTAGACATATTTGGAAGACAATAACGATGGAAAGAGTATCATAAAACATACTGACACTTCCATTTCTGTTAGCGTAGGACCACTGATATCAGAGATGTGATCCTAAAAACTCCGACTGAACAAGCAGATGGAAAAATACCAAAAATATGAACACACCTGAACACATGTTAGTCGTAGAAAGCAGAGCAAATACGAGTATGAGTAAATAAAAACAACAATAACGGGTACAAGACAGATTATTCCCTTCAACTTGCAACGATGCATAACCGGGTTTAGAATATGGCGACGAAATTTGAAAAACATTTCCACCAGCGTCCTGACCTGACCCTAAAATATATCTCGTTCACGACGCGGAGATTGTTTCATCGATGAATGTGGTCCGCCAGAAAATGCAACCAAGATAAGGTCTAATGAACGACGGAGAGAAACCAAGAGCCTGAGACATTGCAGGAGAACTCACTACAATTACTACAATAAATTCTGACGAAACAGACGTCAAAAATCGAAGGATACGGAGCGGAATGGGTTTCTAAAACGACCCTTCGTAACGAAAAAAACTAACGATATTGATGAATAACGAGCACACGACCTCCTTGCTACGTGAACACCGAGGCAATGGGAACATAGCAAAGAAACAGCGCTTATCGATTGCAGCACGTTTCCTTGCATATCAGGTCACAATTACACATGGATAGTTCTGACGAACATCATTAGTTCGTCTTAAACAGGTTTTTTATCTTTAGTTTTATCGAGTTCTTAACAAAGGCATCTTTAAGAGAATATCTAATGCGGTATCCTTTCGGTGTATCTTTTTGGTGAGTTGGGGATTGTATATGAGGTGTCGGTATTTCGAAAACTGATTGCATATTTACAGCGTTTCAGGGGTCCTAATGAGGTGAATGAAAGGTGGTCCTGTCTGGTGTTTACAGGAAAGGAGTGGAACATAACGTTATACGTATCACACCTGAAACCCCTTATTTATGCGAAAACCTGTTCTCCATCTAATATACACAGAACTGTTTTATACATGTAGGCCTTTATCCACTTAACATTTCAACGGCTCGTCCTCACAGGTTGTGCGGGTCTCAGCATAATCACCATTTTTCGGAGATTTGCTGGTTTAGCCATCGTGGTTCCCTGGAATCCCAATATCAACCCGTCCAAAGTCCACTCCAGGCCGTCACCACCAGAGGCAGTCGCAGCAGCCCTTGTTGATCAGAGGGAGATTTGCCATCATGCGTACCAGGACGGTAGTGGACCCTGGTATTGGTTTACTCTTAGCCAGGCTTCCTAATGGAAACACCGGACTCTTCAACTTTGGTGATCCTGCCGGGAGGACGAATCACCGCGCTGTACATCGCTGACACCCAGGAACACCTCCCAGCCACGATGAGGCGATAACACCATAGGATGCTACGCCGGACTCCTTCTTCTTCTTCTCGTCTTTATTCACGAGTACCAAAACTAATACCAGGATCCACCGCTGTCCTGGTATCAAACTAGTCGCATGGTGGCAAATCTCCCTCTCATCAACAAGGGTGGCTAGTACCTGTGATGGTGACGATCTTGGGCAGAGTTTGACCAGGCTGACCTCGGAACTCCAGGCAACCACAATGGCTAAGCCCGCAAAACTCGGACTGTTCAAAACGAAATCAATGGTGAAATTAAGTACACGAATTGTGTAGTCGCTTTTTATCTACAGCCTATTCTCTTTTTAATGGCAGTGCAGCTTCAGCTTAATTGTGTTTAATACCTGTTTGTACACCCAGATCAATCCCGTTGACAGGTGATTGCTGATGGCGCCAATAAAACAAGGCTGAGAGAAAAGCGAAACGAAGGACACGTGTGGTGTGGTGAACACGTTATTCCCCGGTAAGGGTAATAACGCGGTTCGGTCCACGCGGCAAACACCTACGATCCGGTGCTTCGCAAATGTCTTAGCATTATTGTAGTTATACGAATTGTAATACGAATAATTTTCTTCGTATTTTTGTTGAGCAAACACGAGGTGTTATTATTCTTTGTTCACGATTAAGCTGACGTTTCGGCGGATTTCGCCTTCCTCAGAGCCTGGAAAGGTCAAGTTGACAGCAATCTACTCGGCCAGATGCCTCCATAACCAAACAAAGAAACTCCAAACCAATATTTCAATCACTTTGAACACAGCTTTGCACACTCACCGCTTCCTATGAGGTTTCCACTAAGTATGTCACGTAGAGACCAACCGCACAGAAATCACATGGAAGTATAATGTGCCCCTCATATCAGAAAAGCAGTTTTATATACTGCCTTATATCACGCGTGATAATGAGGCATTCTTCTCTGCGGTTCATTTTCGGATTTCTGGAATTAATCCAGAGTCCCTCGAGAGTTTTTCGCGCCTGTGTTCTTGATTCGCGTGCGAGGATCGTGACACATACTTCGAAGTCGTCCCCGTTATGTCTCTGGGTCCTATGAGTGCCTAGCGGGGTATTTGGTCTATTTTTGCCGGCTAGGCGTTCTTTCATGCGGAGACAGAGGGGTCTACCCGTTTCGCCAATGTATTCGTCACCACACGTCTTACAGGAGATCAGATAAACTATACCCGAGCTCATGCAATCACCGTCTCTACCACTGGGGCAAATTATGCAATTTTGAGTCGCACATAGGCGGTCATATAGGCGGTTACGAACTAGCTGGCGCCTAAGATTACTCGGTGGCATCTCAACTACGTTTACCGAATTCTCTAAACCCGCCCTTCTTAAGCAACGTCTTATAGCCGCACTTACATCATATGAGATTAAGGGTAGGATAAACGGGACCCTTCTAACGCTAGAGATGTTGTTTGGAGGCCTAGGATTTCCCCTACACCTATCCTGAGCTACAGTTTCGTAGCCATTAGAAATGGCTATTTGCCGTGCCAAGTTCCGGGACTCCTCTCTCTGCTCTCTTCCCGTGCACATGTTGGTTGCTGTTCGAAACATGTTTTTTATAAGCACCCTTTTCGTGTAAGAGAGGTGAGAAGAGTGGTAATGTACCAGGATGTTTTTACTACTTTGCTTTCAGTACCACTTTGTAATGTAGCCATTTTCTGATAGGTGAATTTGTACGTTCAAAAATGGAAGCCATTTTTCTTTCGGCTTTTCTCGGGTGAACTTGATATACTCTGACTGTGTGTTTAACAATTCGAAGCATTTGTCCATTTCCTCTTGTGTTGAGCAAAGGACAAAGCAGTCGTCTACATACCTACAGGAGAGTAGCGGCCCGAGATCAGTCACCGGTGCTTCCACCTTAGACATAAATGCAATGGCAAGGCTTGGAGCCAGTCGTTGTCCCATTGCCAACCCTCTTATTTGAGCGTAGTACTTTCCAGACCATCTGAAGATTGAGCAGCTCAAGCATTCTTTTAAGAGTGCCATCAGGTGCTCTATCCTGAAGCCCTAAATGTTTATTTCTCCTTCGTGTTGTGTAAGGAGTTCGAATATGGCTTGCATTGCGGAGTCTTTCGACACGTTTGTATAAAGGGCGGTAACGTCGAAGGACTCCATCACGCACGCGCTGTTGGGCTGCGCAGTACGTAGACGATCCAGAAACATCTGGGTATTCGTAGGATGGGCTGGGATGTGTTTCAACAACTGGTTAAATATTAGGGTTAAAAACCATGTTATCCTGTCCGTTGGCCCGTCTACGCAGCTAATGATAGGTCTAACCTTAAATAGTGATGGATCGTTAGACGCAAGATCATCGCTGGATACTAACTTATGAGTTTTTATAAGTACAAGACGGGGCATGTTGGTAAGTCAACATTAAGTTGAGAGATAACTGATGGTTTTAAACCAGCAGCCCTTGCCATTTTGGCCCATTCGTGGTTTAGTTTTCGGTATTTACTTTTGAATTCCTCCTCAGATGATGGGCGATAAAGCGAAGCATCTTCAAGATGCTTTTTCGTTATCTCCACATCCAACTGATGAGGAATTACGACAAACTCTCCACCCTTATCACTAACGGAAAGTCTTATGGTTTTCAACCTTATCAGCTCTCGTACCTCTCGCATACCACGTTTTTGCACTGGAGTGAAGTTTGAGCTGTATCTTTTCGCGCGATAGTGATTAAGGACTTTGAAAGTTTCATTCGTAAACATCCGAAATTTAACAACAACTTTATTATTGGGCTCTTGTTGTCTAAAAAACGTCGGGGGAAATGGTGCCATTGGTAGGGTCCCCACTTAATGTTGTTCGCACCTATTTAGCGCTTCGTCTCTAGCTTTTTTGCGGAGTCTATCCTGAAGTTCATGTAAACCACATGCGACCCTACGCAAGGTTATCTTAGAAATGGGTTCAGATGGTGAGAAACTCGGCCCCAATTCTAATAACGAGCGCGCACCGTCAGGGAGAGTTATGCCTCCTAACACGGTTAGCCTTGAATTTTCTTGCACATTACCTATTCTAATGTGATCTGTTTGATGTTCTTTAGCGATATTTTTGTGCGCTATTGAAGCTGTGTTATGTGATTTACTCAAAAGGTCTTCGAATTTTCTTCGCAAAGCTACTTTAGCATTAGACCTAATAGAGTTGCAAATCAACACTGACCCGCCCACTATTCTCCTCCAGAGGCAGTCCTCCAAATATTGAGCACAAAAGTTTTCCTTCTTCTCGCACTTCTTCCACTTGACGAACATCTCGTTTTGTCGGCTTTGTAGACAAGTGCGTAGTATTCGCAATTCGACGTCCAATACTCGGTGACTGTCCTCTGGTAGACCGCATACGTCGTGTAGTCGTTTTCGTTTGATGAAGTTCGGAACGACTTGAACGTCAGCTTAATCGTGAACAAAGAATAATAACACCTCGCGTTTGCTCAACAAAAATACGAAGAAAATTACTTGATCAATGCCGAGGTTAATAGAAAGTCGGTCGTGGCAGTTACTGTAATAAGAATGTTTTGGCACCGTCTACACTTATATTTGCCAAGCACAAGTGGATATCCTCTTTCGAGATTTTCATCGGTGAATATGTATGGCTTGTCGAAAAATCCTAACAACTTTCATCTTATTCTAATGATTAGCATTAAGCCGTAGTGCTCCTAGATCTGTTCTTGCTTAGAGGCAGTGTGAGGCAACGTCTGCTTTTGTGTCTGCTCTGGACTAGCTGAACTTGTCAAGCAATTGAAAGTGATGATTCGCACAAGGTGAACGGTGATGGTTTCTTTACTAGTACAGGACTTATGAAGTTCGTAAAAGAAAGTGTTTGTAGACGGAGTGGTGGTTTCTCTATTGCTCCAGGTCTTTATATACAACTATTTAATATATTTTGCCATATATCTGCTTTTTTGTGAGAAACTGGTTTTTCTTGTGCATCTTTCCTTTATTTCTTTCTTGTACTCCAAATATGTTACAAAGCATCCAGGATGCTGAGGGCATCAGAAGTAAGAAACGCTTCTGACGAGACTATTTTAATAATGGATATAAGAGGTGTACATTATTTGTATTATTAAAGATACTGTATAAAAGAAGCGCACGTAGCGCGGTGGTTAGAGATGCCCTGCACACGGTAGCTGGTTTCATCCGGCGTCCTTGGCGCACCAATCCATCCATCCTTCAGGGGCCGGCAAGTTGGTGCCAGACTTGTCTGACACCGTAGAATCACTGATTTTATGCGTCGGTAGACCACTATAAGTTGTTGTACAAGCCGTATACCATTCAATCACCTTTAACGATGCTTGATAAAGAGAGAGTGCACAACACACAACTCGGATTGATCAACTCCGAATGCTCTATCATTTTTCTTTTTACCCTACACGGAACATTCTGAATACTGTAGAAAATCCCTCACTAAATACAATTATTCTCTATCTATTACTATATTCCTACGAACGGTTTACCGTCTTTTCGTGGCCGAGAGAGGTGTTCTTGGGTATTTTGCTGCAATGTATTGCGGGGGGATTGGTTACACCAGCAGGGCTTCCCAAGCTGAGAACAAGTCCGGCGTTTTCATCAGGAAACCTAGCTAAGAGTAAACCAATATCAGGATCCACCACCGTTCTGGTAGCTAGCTAGTTGCATGATGGCAAATCTCCCTCTGATCCAAAAGGGCAACGACTACCTGTGGTGCAACGGCCTATAACAGACATTGGCTAGCCTGAGCTCGGCATTCCAGAGAACTACAGTGGATAAACCAGCAAAACTTCGAAAAAGTGGAAATTATGCTGAGACCCGCACAACCAGTGAAGACGGGTCATCCAAGCATCCAACGAAGTATTCCATTACCACTACATTTTCACAACTCTGGCCGTTGAAATAGTGTTCTGATGTTGACGGTCACTGCTGTTCTATAATAAGGCGGCATAGTTATCATCCACTGATATGTCTTTCGTCACTCTACGTCTGTCGTAATTTATAACCTTCATGATCACTTGTTACATCTATCTTGTAATATTGTAGACTTGTCCATAACGTCCATTTCAAAACGTTGTTAGAATGCTACTTAGTTGCGGAGCAATTTTTGTTAATCTCTTCTAGCATTAGCATTATTAACATTAGCTGAGTTGTGCTCTTATGTGTCTTTGGTCCCATAGTACTTCACCAATTCGTTAGAGAAGCTACTCCGTTATTACCATTGTAACTGTCTTTCCGTATTGATTTCGCTATTATTTCATTGTTTGCATATATATATATATATATATATATATATATATATATATATATATATATATAGGCCTCTAGCATAATTCCCATTTTTCGGAGATTTGCTGGTTGAGCCATTATGGTTCTCTTGAGTCCCGAGGTCATCCTGGCCAAAGTTTGCTCCAAATATTCACCACGACAGGCAGTCGCAGCCATTGTGGATCAGAGGGAGATTTGCCACCGTCCGACTTTGATACCAGGACGGTGGTGGATCCTGGTATTGGTTTACTCTTAGCTAGGCTTCCTAATGGAAACGCCGGACTCCTCAGCTTGGAAGACCCTGCCGAGAGAGGAATCCCCCCGCTGTATATCGCAGTCCGACACACAGGAACACCTCCTAACCACGATGAGGCGGTAAACCGTTGAGAGGGTTGGGAGGATATACAAATATATATATATATATATATATTGCAGCTGATTTACCCAATTTAAACCCATTACAAAGAATTTTATGAATCGATCTTCTATTACGATGTACTAAAGTTTGGTGAAATGCTGCCTGAGATTCGCACAATTTTTTTTTAAACATTAAACAATTAAACACAATCTTTGAGTGCCTTGTGTTTAACTAATGTTACACCAGACACCCATCTCAACACTAAATGAATGCAAGATTGCTGAAAGATTACGCCAGAAATATCTGCAATCTGCTCATGAAAGCTTTATTTGTCGACGCAGTAAAGGTTAAGAAAGACTAGGAAGCTGACAAGAGTAAAAATGAGAAAGACTTAATAAAGAATGAGTCGAAATCCGCTTTAATTAGACCTCGAGTTTACCCCGGTTTCAGCTAATTCGCCCAAATGACTTAATTGAGTAGGGATTTCAATGAAGAAATCCTAATCGTACTCCAAAATTCTCCTCATGCATTCTTAAGTACTTCATCAGTTCGATAGGAAATTGCCAAAGTTAATCAAATGGGAGATTGCTTTCAGGCGTCAATGAAGTTGCCTGAGCGTTCAAGTAACCACTACAGTTCTGGGCAATGAATATTTTCTCAGTGCATATGCAAAGAAATCACTTCGTTTAACAAACCCAACAAGTAAGCTCATAGTTGCTTCTTAGTTAGAGCTTTTTTGGCATCTCGTGTCATCTCTACGACATCGCTCGTTGGACATGTCAAGCAAGACAGTTGCGCTTGATCAAAATGCTGCATAGATTGAGGTTGATGCATTGATTCAGGAATGGATGACAGACGCCTATGAAATGAGCCAAAGGTGTCTGTCGAGGAAGGAAACTGTTCTCTTCTGGAGTCGGACGACAAGGTCTTTGACGGTTGACCGTCATGATAGCCAATTGTTTCCGACAACTCCTTCACACATCTGGATAACTCTTCAAATTCTAACGACCTGAAATAAGAATGTTTTAAAGATCTTTCAGCAATAAGACAGATCATATTAATAATAATAGCGATTATTTTCGGCAAAGAAGCCTATTACACTGTACAGCAGAGAAAAGATGCGCGATATCCCACGTTTTCTATTCTCACTGTTCCATAAGCTGTGAAGTTGTCAATATTGGTGGAAATGAAAGCAGCATTAAGCAGTGCAGTAAGACCCGGTCATAAGAAAGAAGCTAATGAATCAAATTAATTAGCCATGGTACCAGTTCTTCATAAATTATTCCTCTGCCCATTTTTGAACTTTAGCAGAAAAGAACGAAATGTGCACAAGCTCGTTTCGTTCTGGAATGAACTGCAGGATATTACTAGTGTCAATAAGCTAAAAAACACTCATGTTCTTAGAACAACGAAGGACTTTCCACTAAAAAAATCTCTTTAATCACTAATGAAAGCCAGAATTTGGCAGCGTAATGATTATAGGTGCCATTCGTTCGACTCCGTTCTATGGGAAAACCAAGCCGTACCTCTATATTCCCAGCTCCGGGAAATTAGTAGCGGCTTTATACTGAAGGGTAGAAACGCTTATAGACTTAACATACAGGTAGGCTAAGTCAAGTCATTGTACGGACTAGATATCAAATATGCGCTCTATGCACTGAGTCAACTCCACACTGCTCAGTGATGTCACATGCATGGCACATCTCCAAAGGCTTAATCCATTTCGGATGCTTTATTTTACGTTTTATAGCACTTGTGGAGTGAACGATCTTGACTACTATGTGGAAAGACCTTGGTATGGAAACAGATTCACGTACAACTGAATGTATGTTGAAATTTGTGACCAAAAAACATGGGAAATGGAAGAAAAATTTGTCATCAACGTGAATATTTCAAATTTTCATTCCACCTTTGCTGCCGCTTTATTATTTCTTCCGTAGTGTGTTGAACGGCTTCTCCACGGTCCCTGTCTTTGGCCATTAGAATATCTTCCATTTCAGCGATAGTATTCTCCTTCGAAACTATCTGCAATAAACAAATAGCCGTTTCCGAAATACTAGATGGAGTGAAATTGAACATGTGGAACATTTACTCACTAAATTCTCCAATGCTTCCACCTTTTCCATTAATAGCACTTTATCCTCTCGTAAAGATTTGTTCTCGGATGACAACGACCTTAATCAATAATGGTTCCAACTTCGCAGCTCACACCTAACTTTTGCTGTTGTGATACTTGAATTTTGAAATATTCACAATACTAAAATTCATTGGACGCTTCATTTATATCTCAAGGTATTTCGAACTGCTTGAAATAATAGTAATCCTTTTTGCATGCTTGGTTGCCTAAGGAGATATGTAAAAGTGGACGCTCTACGTGAACTCACTTGGAGAGAGCTTGAAGGGCATCAAGTTCTCTTTGCACCCGCAAGCGTTCATCTCTGGCAGCACTTTCACTGGTAGTGTGTACTTCTAGCTGAAAGCAAACATCACACGACTACAGTTGCACACATACCATTGCCGTAATTTGTAATGCATTCCATAAATATTTCCATTATTAAACTTAACAACAAATACAAAATCGATCATAAAATTCAGCTAGACTTTTAGAGTTAACCAATCACTTCAGATTTATTCTCGGCTATTCGTTACTCATCAGACACCTGTCATCCATATTCATGCATTTTCGTTCCATCATCAAATTTTCTAGCAAAGATGATTCTTTATTGTTAAATAATAGTTGCTCTTTCTTTTCATAGACAATCAAACAAAAGTGAATGAAAACGGATTTTCGAAACAACAAGCAGAAAATTTAGACAAGAAGAACCTCTTTATTCAGCTGGTCACATCTCTGAATAGCCGCTTGAAGTCTCTCTTCGAGAATACCGATTTGTGTCTTGTGTGCCTTTACGTGGAGTCGTAGCTAAACTAAAAAATTAAACAGGAATGGAAGAGTGATTCTCTGCACGCTCCTGTAACCTCAACGATTTCCCCATGTGCTTGAGCTTCGATATCGTGTTCTCGCTCCTCTCTTTCTCGCTCCATACTTGTTCGTATCCTTGTAATCTCTGACATAAGGCGGCTATTTTCCTCTATCAAGTTACTATTTTCAGCCGATATCTGAATATGAAGACGATGAAGATTTAGAAATAAAAGCAATAATTTCAAACGCAAGAAACGCTCCTGATTGTTAAAAAGGGTAAAGGATGAAGCTCTCGGCGTTTATCATTCCCTGAAGGGATGTGCCATGCTTTACAATGTTTCACGGTGTCTTACCAATGTATCGAGCCAGTGCTGCTATCCTCCCAGACAAGCGTGGTACCAATTTGCTGACCCCGGAGGGATCGAAGGCCTGGTGAGCCATGGGAGGACGGATCGACTCCGCGTGTGTGTTACAGGGCGCTTCTGACCACTGCGCCACACGCGCCCTTGCTTGGTTGTTAACCTTATTGGAATAACGCACTGCAGCTATAATGTAATGATAAATTAAGTAATGTCATACCTTTTCTTGCAGCGCCTTGTCATTGTTGTGTTTCAACTGTGCCTCTCTAAGTTGATTCCGTAATGTGAATAGATTTTCCTCAAACGGAAAGAAGAATACAACAATCCTGATGGTATCATTTTTATATGAAAATTGGTATCCCAAACCCAAATTGTACACGCAACGCTATCACACATGATTGAAGGAGATGTTTGAAATAACCGAAAACAATCGACGCTTTTTTTACGTCCCCTTTCATAAAATCTTTTATGGCAACATAATTGCAGCAAGGTTAAATAATCATTGTATGTCTTAGTTTCTCCATCAGTTGGAAAGGTTACTAGTTAAAAAAGACCATTTCACAACGAATATGGAAAAATATTAAGTGTATTTACATTGTTCCTGACTATGTTGATTCGAAATTTGAACGCAGGTCAGTTAGGGTCTTCTCAAAATTAGAGAAACATACTTACTAATAATTGGTCCTCTTTTTGCTGTCTTCTTAAGGATTCGTTCTTCAAGTGTAGAACTTCGTCCTTGGCTCGCTCAACATCCTCGTTTACACTTTTGATTTTTTCGGTGTAAAGGTCACCGACATGTTCTTTCTCTCGAAGATCAAGCTAAATTTTATTAAAACGAGTTTTTACTTCTATTTTTGAGCATGCAGATGCGTTTCTTAAGATATCTTCATAATTCCACGTTCCTACTCATTTCGCATTATGAGAGACAATTGTTAAACTATTATGATATGAAGCAATTTCTTCTCTTCCAAGTCACTTAAAAACTAATCTCGAACCTTGAGCTGTGCAACTGTTTCGTTAAGAGTGCGTAACTTACTGCTGAGATCGTCACGTTCGCTAGCAAGCTGTATTATTCTGAAAAACCTCGAAGTGATATTAATACAGAATGGCAATATAAGTCGTTTCCTGAACCAAATCACCACTAACCTTAGCAGTGACAACCAAATTTTCTCTTTCTTTGTGACGGTGCTAACTAATAATGGTATCTCTAAGTCAAGATTCAAATCTAGGCTACCACAAAACAATAGGAATCCCAACACCCACAACAGCTACCCACAACATGAGTTGCCCTGTCAATGGACGAAATCCAACTTCTGTTTAGTCATTGGTCATGATCAGTAGTTGGCGAACCAGTTTATGGACCAAATCCAACTATCTCTTTGTATTACAAAGAGGCTCACATGCAGGTTTAACTTTATAGCAATTATTTGAAAAAATTTCTCTTTGAGTATGGCTGACTCTTCTAGGTTTCAACGATCGTTACTTCTACCTGAGTATTTCCACGTAGATGCTTTGCTTCCGATCTTTGAGATAGCATGCTCAGAGAACATTTATTTCCCCATTTATGTATTGTATTTTACAAACGGAATATCGTCTCGGAAACCGGCAACCTTCTACTATTTTCATCATACCTCCGACAAAATTAATCAGGAAGTTTCAGAATTGATATAGTTTCCATATGTTTCCCATAGAGATACATTTTGCCTCATTAGATGCTAGATAGAAGATGATAGAAGCGGTTATCAACTAAATGCTTAGTACTATTTTTCCATGGATTTCTCAGTATGAGGCTTCTCGAACTGGCAAACTGCAAAGAAACGTGGTAAGTCCAGTGGAAACACATAAAGAGTGAAGTGTCGTCCAAACGTGGTAAGCACTTGCCATGAGGCTAGTTGATTTAAAGGTGAACTCCATGCTGGTAACAAATTAACCTACACATGCTGCACATAAGTGGAAATTCAGGCATGGGTATGCTTCTGCATTTCTGTGACGATGATTCTATTTAACACGCCGAGTAGACCAAAAATGCAACCAAGTGAGTGACGAGGGCATGGAATGTGAAGGACGTTAGCAGATTTGGACAACAAGGTCGCGATTAAAACATACCACATAATGAAAGACGCCAACTCTCTAGCAGTGAACGATATTTTTTCGATATTTATTTGCTTTTTATTCACTGGCTACTCCTTTTTCATGGCAATGTATGGTGTAAATTAAAACCACAATGGTGCTGATGAATCAGCAAAACGCAGAACTTCAGTTGCGCTTCGAACAGGCGATTACTTTTCCCAGAGGCACAAGTGCTATCCAGCATAACAGAAGCTCTTTGCTTTTCTCTAGACGATGTTCTTGTGCTATCGGTACTATCACCAATCACCGGTCAACGAGAACCAGCTGGGAGGAACAAATCGGCATTGAGCACAGTTAAGCTGAATCCGTATACTCTCAATATACTCCCAATATGTAGACGGAATGCAAAGCTGTGACCTTCGAAATCTGTCACATCTGCGAGATCCCGGAGATTATACATCGATAGCGAAACATAGATAGAGCGGTCACATAATGAGAATAACAGACGACAGATGGACGAAAAGAACAGTAAAGTGGACTCCAAGAGAATGCAAACGTCCCGTTGAACGACCACCTACACGTTGGGCGGACGTATTCATAAACAAAGTTAATCAGCTGTACCCACAGCTGCACTTGTTTTACAGATCACGGTATGAGACTCGCAAGCGCTACCATGCTCGAACAAGACCACTACCATGGACTACGACTGCGTGAGAAAGGAATGAATGGCATACGTGCTGGAGTCCGCACAGCTCGTGAAGACGGACTGTCCAAGTATCCAAGTATCCAAGTAAATAAGTTGAATCCGTAGTCGAAATCATGTCTTAACTTTCTGTTTACTTGCTATTCCTTTTTAACAGCAAGGTATCGTTCGAACAATAACCGCAGTGATGCTGAGATATGAGCAATTTTTCGATAGGTAGAGAACTTATTGTGGGGATGGGGGTTGAGGAAAAGACGGAGTTATATAAGGGTGATCGATTTGACGCTATAGAGGTGTATCTCTCCTATTCTCCAGCTGTAGCTCAACATCCGACCGCATTGCTGCTAGTAGTTAAAAGTGTTTTGGAGCTAATATCGAATATGTTTCGATGTTCCGTGTTGGCCTATTCCATATGATGACCGTAATTCACTGAAGCGAATAGAAATGAAGTAACAGTCAACTAGCAGTCAAAACTTTAACTCTATATACCCCACATAATGAGTGGTTTTGTTTTCTAGGAGTCCTCGTAGTTTTTCAATCACTAAGAGACGTGAGGAATTGAGAACATGGGACACATAAGAACAGACTGCGCTATCGCTCTAGTGTATAGGTGCTAGAATTGCGAAAGGAACTGGACATCGACAAATATCGAAAGTGGTAATGGAGAAGCTCGAGATGTAAAACGCAATATGGAATCTCTCAAGTTTCTCATCAACGTTTCTGAAGAAAGTGACTCAAAGAAGGAAGCTGAAGATGTTTTGAAGAAATGAGCGGTGTGTGGTCCAACAATATCTTGTCTTACAACGTATGAATTTTCAATGACAGTCCACTTGGTATAAAACGGAAATTCCTACCTCAGTGCATAAAACTAACAGATATTTAGATGTTATTCATAGCTGATATTCGAAAGCAAATCGTGAATGAGACGAACAGCTATGGTCTACAAAAGGATACGTTGTAGAAACCTGCAGGTATTCTCCGGATGAGAAGATTCATGAGTCTTTACCTCAAATTTCGAACCGCTAGAGTGCTGCGGATCATTGGAGTTCCAGTGTTGCCCTTCTATGGCGTCTTTTTGCATTTCATCTACTAGCCGAGGGCAGAGTCGCTATCTTGCCAACTAATTTTTATTTGTCAACAGCGCAATGTGCGATCGACGAGACGTCTTATACAGGTTTAGAAGAATAAATCTCTAGTTGGATTTGTTGATGGAAACTGCAACAGGATATACAGGACTAGTGTCTGCACTAGTTCAAATGCCAGGTATGAAGGGACTTAGAGGTAAATTTACCACGGTTAAGAAATTTTGCGTAGTAGAGAGAAATATGGACTGAAGTTATTCATATAGTACTCAAAAGATTTCTTCACCTGCAGAAATTTGTGACTATCGGTTGCGACCACTTTATAACTCCGGGATATAGCCTCAATGAAACGATCATTTGGTGAACAAAGGAAGGCATTTCTCTATCACTAATTGATACAGAAGCACGCGTGTGGCGCAGTATTCGGAGGCGCCCTGCAACACATACGTGGAATCGATCCCAGCGCCCCTGGCCTACCAAGCTTTCCATCCCTCCGAGGTCGGCAAATTGGTGCCAGATTTGTCTGGGAGGATAGTAGCACTGGCTCGATACATCGATGGACAACCGAGAGTCATTATAAAGGCCATATATGCATTCCATCACCTCCACCGTCGCTTGATGAAGTCGAATGCATAGCGCATCCCTCAGGGATGTATCAGCGCCAACAGCTTTATCCTTTCATCCTTTTTAAGTGATATAGAAGTTTTTCTTTAGCCGAAAAATTAATGCAAAGAATGGACCTAATTCGCATACGTTGAAAGAATAGGAAAAGGTATGCCAAGCAGATAATCCATCTGAAGCTGAGTCGGAAAGGTTCGATGTCCCTCGACCAAGAATCATCTGCAGAATTCTGGCTTGAGACGAAAACAAATTAAGACATTATTCGCGAACATTCGAATTATTCGATAATCAGCACGAGGACAAGCGGGACGGTGATGCAATGTGATTTACGAAAATATTGTCCGGAATTCACCAAATCCATATGTTATTTACGATTGACAGCTTTCGCTTAGCGAAAGACTGATGGCAGGTTAAGATGACTTTTTTCCAAAAACCACACGAAACACCTTTTAAGTTACTGTATTCCTTTGTGGTAGACCTGAACTGTCCACTGGTTCTTCGCAAGATGAAATAAATATTTGTCAAGAACAGACGAAGAACAACGGCGGCTCCCCCAGTTCTCTTTCCGTACGCATTGATCATATCGCGAAATTTTTTTCTCCGTAAAAGATGATAGGAAAGTAGTTTACATGAATATCTTCAGCGTAGTCATCAGTACATAACTGTCCAAGTTCCTTGGGAAAATGTCATACAGTTGTACATTTAAAAACGACGAATATTTTGTTTTCGTTTCTCAGGGTTTCTTATTTTCTGACTATCAGTTCATGGGACTGAAAGGAAATGACAATTTCCTCATGTGTGGAGATGTCGGATCTGTAATCACTAGTGAATTACTGGAAGAGACATCATAGAAGTTCAGCCTTTGGAGCTTCAGTCTTATACACGAAAGCGAAGAAGGTAATGTGCAGCTGCCTTTTTGCAAATCCTTCAAAATTATGACAAGTAGTCCTCAAATTAGCGCCATATGGAGTGACACATGGGATGGTGCTAGATAATACCCTTTTCAGCTGCTTATTTGTTGGAAATACAAGTTTCAACAAAAGTTAGATCCTATTGAATTAAAAGCACCAGGTAGAATAAAAACACTTCCATTTGGCTAGAAAAGAGATGAAGATTCTAATAGCTTCTATTTTCACCAATAAAATTCAATAAGAGTCAAGATAGCTTTCATCAAATGTTTAGGGGCTAAAAACAATAGCATAGGTAGGTAATGTGTTGAGTCCCTCCTTCCATGAGTCACTCGGAAAAGGTTTGCGCCATGTTCTCCATTGGCGTGGTGTAAAGTGTATTGAAGTGGAAGTCCATTATCCCAGATGCTTTTGAATGTGCACTGTGTCAATGACGCTGAGATATTTGTAAAACACCGGACCGCAGGTGTCCACGGTGGGAAACGAGCGCGCTACTGTCCTATCCGAGGAGTAACGCGTTCACCACCGCACCATGTGGCTCCTTCGTTTGGTATGTCTCTCAGCTAGTTCTATCGATCTCTGCCATCAGCAATCACCCGTCAGCGCGATTGATCTAGGGAGCCCAAATCGGCAATGAACCCAGTTAAGCTGAGAGTTGATTGATGGCAGAGATCGATAGAACTAGCTGAGAGACAGGCGAAACGAAACACCCGCATGGTGCGGTGGTGAACGCGTTACGCGTTGGAAAGGTCAATAGCGCGATCGTTCACCACCGCAGGCACCTGTGGTCCGGATTTTTGCAATTATCTCACCATCATTAAAGTTATATTTCGCAACATACCCTACCATTTAAAAAAGTAGAGAGTAAATGAAACGGTTAAGATTGTACTGTGTCACTTATTCAGAGATTTAATTGATGTTACAGTGAACAAAGTAACTGAAAGATCATGCAGTTTAAGCTCAACACTGGCTCAGTGTGACTACATGCATGGTTAACCCTAGAATTAGTCACATGATGCAAATGGATCAAAGTATCGGATGATTCACACCATATGAATTCTTTTAAATGCGGGAACAGAACTAAACCTATAGTTATTTCTATTCTGCTTGACTTTTAATATAATCCTGGAAAGGTTGATCGACTAATTGCAGGATTCGCTCTCAGTCCAGCATTTTCTGCCATGGTGGAAACTTCCAAGTAGCAAGAAAGCAAACGTTCCTTCAATCTATGTGTGCTGCCAATTAACCTTGGTGACGACATGAGAACTCCATAGCAAAGTTTTATTAGGTTTCCAAGTGAAATCAATCTCTGCTATCACTCAACATGCTGATAAGGAAAGAAGATAACATTGTCAAGTTGTACAAAGTTATATCCGGGGTCAACCACCCACATGGATGACGGATACGAGATAAACGAATGCAGGAAATACTGAAACGTGGGAGACATATCCAAGAGTTGTTCAAGTGCGTAAGTATGTTTGTTTTAGAATTAAATATACATCTAGACATAAACATACCTATAACTCTAACTCTAAAGAATAGAAAATTTGAAATTCTCATTTTACAATCCACATATACAGACTGCCAGTATATCACCTTTTTGATACTGCACACAAAGAACCATATCGGTAGACTGGCGAACTATGGAAGCACCGTGTGATACTCTAGCAGAGAGGGAAGTTGTGAATTCATCCCATCTTATCCAGATGAAGTGTGTAGCCCGACAGCACAAAATTAATCCAAATACAAATTTATCAAACTGACCGAGCTTCTTTTGCTGCTAGGGCTGGTGTAAGGTCATCTAATCGTCGTTGTAGTTCCAGTATCTCTTCCATCAAAGCACGTTTGCTTTTCAATTCACTTTCTGAGTGGCTACTTCATTTGTTTTGTTGAAAATATTACCCGTTTGAACAGATTTTCTCGTTCCCATTTTACATCTCGGATCAAGGAGAAGCCAAAACAAATTTCAAATAAGATGAATTAAAGAAAAGCATTAACGAAGCTTACCATGCCTACTGTGTCTGTCAGTTTCTGCCTTTTCCAGCCTCTGTGTCAGATATTGTATCCGCTCTTGTTGCACTTCTATGGCTCTCATTTTTTCTTCTACTGATCCTTCCAGAGCCTTTATTTGCTTAATGAAAATACCAAGGATTTTAAGTGCTTAGTGAAGAAATTTGGGCTTAAAGGCAGTAGCTTTGGAATATTTTCGGCCTAATGCATAATGTCAAGAATACCACTCCATAGTAACAGTTTATTGATAGGGTAGGTCGTTGCTTTAATAAACCCTTATTTTGGTTAACGTTTCGGCGCTATCGCTTATCAACTGAAGCAGATTCGAGTCGGATGTCCACAGTGGTTAGTACTTGCATTATGTAGGCAGTTTTCGCTTGGACTCAGATCGTAGATAGGAGTAGGGCACCGCATAAAAGCCCCACTTAACCGTACACTCTCCTTTCACCACACTCAAGACGGTTGCCCATTCAAGATTATCTGTTTTTGTGACAACAATATGCTGTAGCGTATACTACTATAATTATTTGCGATTTCCTTGATAAGCACACACGAGGCTGCTACTATATACTATTTATTCACAACAGCTAACGTTTTAGAGGATTCTACATTCTTCAAAGCGGTTTAGATAAAGGAATAAAGGCCCATTTCAAGCACGTATAATTGACACCCAAAAATTGGAAAGGAAACAATAATTGCTTTTCTTTAGATTTGGGCTAGGAAACTGCCAAAGTCGATAGATATTTGGTCTTAAATAATAAAATAATAAAATAAAATTACGTTGTATTATATCATATTATCATTAGCTCCTCTTCTTTCTCCTAGCCCAAATTCAGTAAAATTTGGCAAACCAACAAGAAATATAACATCGACGGAAGAATAAAAAATAAAGCTCTCGGCGTTGGCGCTCCCATCTACTTCGTCGAGCGGTGAGACAGCTGGTGAGAGGCGATCAAATTTCAAGTCGAACAAGGCGTCAATGGAAGACTAGACGAAGGACTTAAAACTTGTGCCGAACTCGACTTAGTTCCTCAAACGATAAGTTCACGCAGCACCTCCACTACCGCTGTAGACTTCTTCGAAAAGGGAATAAAACTAAAGTTTGACTCTATTGCAAAACATCTAATGCAGCTGACAATAAATGCCGGCTGTAGAAGATTTTCGCAGAAGGATTTGCACAGGCATAAGAAGAAAATGTTGCTGTGAGCAGCTCAAAAAAAGATTTTTGTCTGAAGAATGCTTGAGACTTTGTCGGGATGTTTGAGACTAATGTTCCGTTACCTGCCCTGCTGAGTGAGGAAAGGACGTCACTATATCCCGGCAAAATATGGCACTAATAATGGAGAAGTTTTACACCATTTACACAATTCTTTTTCGCTCCACAACTTTCATTTCAAATCCCGAAACACCCAATAGTAAATGATTGCGTGGGGTTCTGCCCTCTGAAATTCGAGTTTCGATAGAAAGCATAGATGGAAAAAGACACGGCTCCAGGGTCCGATAATATCACCTCCAATTTCCTCAGAGCTGGAAGACTCAAGTTACACGTATTTTTTGCAACCCACAAAACATTTCAGCTTGAGAATGAGAAAATAGTAGACCATTGGAGAAACTCGCGCATGGCTATCATAGCCAAGAAGGGTAACCGAGAAGATTTTCGTAACTAGTCTCCAGTGTGCTTTTGACATACTGTAGAAACTGTTCATGAAGGCATAGCTTTTCACGCATATCGGAGACCTTGGATAGGGCACGACCTGCTAAGCAAGCAAAATTCCGGCAAAGATTCTGCGGTATGGGCCACATCCTAACCGTTTAATGGTCGTAAAATCTGTTGGGAATGACACCTGTCCCTTGCCCTCTACAATGAACGTTTGGCAGTGTTGAAACGAATGCAATTCTATCAGCGCTAGTCGACCAAGGAGTGGAGCCTCTCCCACCATAAACGAACACCAGGAGACTGTAATCGGAACTGCAGCACAAATATGGAACTTTTTTATCGACTACTTGCCATTCTCATAGAAAATTGGTTTAAAAGGGCGACGCAATACCGCTAAAACTGTACCGCCGCACTGTGGTTGACAACGAAGTCACTCGATTGGTCGAGAAGGGCATACATATTGATGGAAAATTCCTCTCAAATCTTTGTTTCGCGGATGGCATCGTCACTATTCTTTTCGAGGAGTACCAGTGAACCAGAAACGGTGTTCAGTTAGCTAAGTGAAACGCGAAATGCAGTTGGAATGCGTACATAAATAAGATAAGGTTCAAGAGGAAACCATGACGTTAAGGCGAACAAATCAAGCTGGATAGTTCTCTGGTTACAGAGACCACCTCGTACGTGTATCTTAGACGTCCAGTGAACGTGGAATACCGCATAGAGTAGGGATTAGATGGAAGAAAGAGCTCAGCGTAAAACGCATTCAGGCTTCTGAAAAGAGCCACCGTTCAACTAGCAGATCCAAAACTACGCTCTCATGTTTTCGATTAAACAGTCCTCCCAGCGCTCCGTTGTTCAGCAGAGAAGTTAGCTGATACTTCAACCACGTCAAAAATACCGCGCACCACTCACAGAACGCTTAAACTATATGTTCTGAAATTTAACCAATCCTTACAACGTCTAGCCGTAATGCGTAGCTCAGATCTTCGAAACCTATCCCGTTTCGGGATTGAGAATAACTTAAATACATAGCGAAAGACAGACAGGTCGTTCACATAATAGGAAGGACGGATGACAGATGCTCGAAAAGAACAGTGAAGAGCACCACAACAGAATGCAAACGTGCTCTTGGAAGGCCATTCAAACGATGGGATAACGGGTCCGTGGCTAAGGTCAACTTTCTGCAGAAAGAAATGGTTTTAGCAATTCGGAATGAGCCTGGCGGTTGTCACATGTTCGATGCAGACCATATCCATGTACGACAATTGCGCGAGAGAGAAATGAATGGAAATCATATTGGGCTTGCACCACCACTGAACATAGGTCATCCAAGTATCCAAGTATCCAACTATCCAGTAAGCTGTAGCAACAGTTAGAGGTGCTTTGCAATGTGGAAGCGGTGTTTGTTTTGATTCCGCACATTGGGGTTATCAAGACTTTCATCCTCCCTAGTTCAACAGATTAGTAATAGACTTGTTTGGAAGGATAGCAGCACTGACTTGATGCAGGCGGAGTCCAGTTCTAGTCATTGCATAGTATGCCTTCACTCCCCTCTGACGATACTATATAAAGTCGAACGTATGTTGCATCTCTCAAGGATTGATCAATGCCGGACGCTTTATAACCTCTTTGATATTATTGCTAGGTTTTTCGGAAACTTTTACGGGACTTGTGATTTCATTTCTCCAGCATATGCTCCAACAAAAATTTTTCTCTAACAGTATGCTATGCTGCTGTCAAATCAACTATCAATGTGCGACTATCACTGTAAGGCTCATTTCATGTGGTTTCGCTCTATATGACTGAATAACAATACAATTTGTATTCCAGAGGAACTTTGCAGGTTAGAAATTGAGATATCAAAACAACAATCTCGATAAATTTACTTTTACGAATTCAAACTCGGAAGTAGTGCGGCGCATTCGGCCAGAAATAGTGATAGAGATATGGGCAAGAAAATATTAATGAATGCACAGTGCAGCGTTCGTTTCAAAAAATTCCTGGTAGCGAATTCGACGTTAAATTAGAGGAACGTCGCGGTCGTACGTTCGCTGTTCAGGACGATTTGTTGAAACGCTTGGTGGAAGCAAATACACGCACGTTTTCGAGAACTTGCGTCAGAACTCGCTGTGGGTTTCTCAACAGCTTTGCAGCACCTTAAAACATTGGAAAGACGAAGAAGCTCGACAAACAGGTGCTGCAAGAATTGAAATATCCTTCTTCACAATAAGACGCGGCAACAGGTCGCACAACCGACGTTGGTTAAACGACCGAAAAAGCTAACTCGTCCACCATCGGCGGTCCTCCCGCCTTCCGAGTATCACCTCCTCAAGCACTTCGATAAACTTCTCTGCTAAGAGTGCTTTAAAAATCAAGTCGATTGGGAAACGGCCTTCAGTGACCTTATCGCCTCCGAAACTCTTGAATTTCAATTGACTGGAATAAATAAACTTGGTCCTCGTTGAGCAAAAAATTGTAGATTCTAACGGTTTCTAATTCTACCCGTGAAGTTTACCTTGAGCTGAGATGTGCTAATTTAAAAACACCAGTTGTATTTTTTTTGTTTCTTTATTTTACATGGCCCGTCATCACTTCTGTGCGAATTCTACCACTTCTTGCACCGATTCGTTCTCCTCGCATTCATCATTCACAATGCTCTTCGAACCTTTAATGCGCTGTTCGGCTTCTGTTTTAGGATTTAGTCTTCTTTATGACCGTCGTTAAGTGGAGAGAGCCAAGAAGGGGATCGAATAAGCGCATTGCTTCCTGCTGGAATGCCGCATCGTCAAATACATCACTGCCTACTCCCTCTACAAGCTTGATTCTTCCAAGTATTCCCACCTAACCTAACATCTGCCTTATGAAGAACCAAAATTTTTTTGAAATGCATTCAGAAGATAGCACTGTAACATTTCAAGTTAATTCGTTGAGATCTACAACGCATTACTCCTTATTGTGTGGTGGAGTGAATTTAGAGATGACGTACAACACGGTTTTGGTGTGCCTGATAAAAGGTATCACCGATCCACAAACGCCGGTGGGTGAATTTGATGAAGAATGGGGAGACCCTGATAACTATTCCAGTATTTCAGAAATATTTTGATTCTAAATCGACCAGCATTTGCTTCGTGAAGCCTACAAATAAAATCCCAAGATTATCGCGGATGA